ATGTGCTGCTAATGGATGTTAGGCTGTGCTGTCGCCAAAGCCGCCGCCCATCGGGATGGCAGGTGTCTTACAAGGTGGACTGGACAGGGGACATTGAACGGTGACGGAGGTACGGAAGCACGTCCATCGCTCCCTCATTCCTGTGGAGAACATGCCACCAAGTAGAGCGACAAACTGGATAGTGCGAAACCGTTCAAGGAAAGAAAGAAATGGGCAGTAGCACAGACTTCTTTATGCCTTGTAATACCGTAGTCTATGGCAGCAGGCTAGAAATTGACAAGTAAATAATTTCAAATCTCCACACGGACGAAATATTGCACAATATTATTCTACAATATTATAACTGCCAATTGGTGCATCTTTTCCTAAGAATTTTAGACTACTGTTTGTCAAATCGACGGACTGATGGTTCAGTGAACAAGTCGGTTGGATAAACCTGGTTTTCCAGTGAATCATGCTGAATGACGTCTCAGTCGGCTTATACCCACTTAAATCAGCTTTTGATCAATCAGGAATGACAGAAATTAAGCATCGTGTTATGAAAAACAGACTTGAACATCAACTGCGATGGGCAGTAAAACATCCGATTAGTAAGAAACACCGTGGATTCAGATAAATGGAACCAATAAATACAATTCTTGGAAACCCAGCATCATTGGCGCAGCCATTCGCTGAGTGTGCCAGCTCCGTGGAAGGACGCATGTTTCAGTTTTGTATATTCTTTGAAGTTGATTAGGCTCCAGATATCGCCCATACAGCTGGAGACGAGCGTCGGGAGACTGGACGGGTATGAGTCACGCCGACCGGTCACGGGTCCTCTGAGGACACGGGCGACCCGTGGCAAAAGCGGAGGGTACGTCTCAACAAAATAGTTTGCTTACCTTAGCAAATGTAAACTCAAGCAGCTTTAGTTTTTTATGTTTGTCATCTATAATTTGTTAAACTATGTTGAGGGGTCGAACCGGGCCGGGGTTGAACACCCCTGTCTAACTCGGCGCTAGGGCCACTAGTGGTGTCAATCGGAACTTGAATCTTCGGAATTCCGATTTTGTCCAATGTCCAATTCGGAATTCGGTTGGACAATGACAGCAGACTTTGGACAACTTTGGACAATCGCTTGCTACACCTCAACATTCTTATAAAGTAATCGTGTTAAACATTGATTGGCTATTAGAAAGCTCAGCTTTCGATATGATTACCACTTTTGAGCTGGTAACGATACATTAAAAGCAAATTAATTAACGGTGTTGAGTGTAAAGTATTGCGTAGATGTCGGACATCTTTGGACAAATGGCTGGCTTGGACATTTTTGGACGGACAGTCGACGTAAGTATTGGACATTGGACGGACATTGGACATATGTTTTCTGAAATTGACATCACTAAGGGCCACGTGGTGACAAGCGATAAGCAGCATTCAAAAGAACGCCAAAAATCATGAAAGAAGTACCTCAATCATTTTTAGGTCAGGTCAAAGGTAAGGCCAACAGAGCTCATCAAAGGTTAAACTTCACCTCTTTCGAGAAATTTTCTAAAAATCACGCATAACTAGGAAACGAATAGAGCTACAGCGTCGCAGAAAGGCGCATTGTATAGCCCTTTTAGTGCTCCTTCATAGCAATATCCTCAGCTTTGACTCAACGTCAACGGTTTATGCTAGAGAGGGCAGAAAGTGTCAAATTGACTTATTTCGTTAAAAATGTTTTCTGTAATAACTTACGACACAACGTTTGCAGGACATGAGTTTTACTGTCATCCTGTTCCTCTCACCAAGACGTGTCCAATAAGCTATAATTTGAACTTGTAGCTCAACTTGCAAAGTTGACCTAGGGTGAAAATCGTTATCAGATCGGGTGAGGTCATGTTGCATGTTGGTCGATCAATATCGTTGAGCTGGAACACATCCGAAATGTTTTCATCGATTAGCATGTCTCACATCAGATGTCGATAACTCCTGTAGACCTTAAACGACCTGAACTGACCTCGGGGCCCAGGGGCCTGGTGAGGGGTCACAGGCGAAAATGTCCCATTTTAATATTCCATCTTGACCTGTTATCCAATGTTTGAGTGTTCAGTAATCAGTATGACTTTCGTCCAAAAAGGCGTAGGTCAAATTTCTCCCATTTATTTGCAATTGAGAGGTCATGGGTGTCGATTTTTGCCGAGTTGGGGGTCCCCGGGCGTAGCAAATTCGCCGCCACCCTAGCGGTGACCTTGACCCGCGCCGTCTGCTGGGGCTCCAAAGCCAAGCCGCCCGAGCCGGCGGGGAATTTCGAGAGCTCGGGCACCCCCCGACCCGGAGGAAATCGACACCCATGCACAAAATTGAAATTTTGTGAGGTCTCAGGGTCAGGTCAGTAGCCTAAATTTTATGCAATACAGTAGCTTATGGTCATCGATGTCAACCTTATGAGATATAGCAAGGGTGGAGAATTAGGGGTTTGGGGGTGCTCGAGCACCCCCTGAAATTCAAAGGTCACCATATAATAGTGCTACAGTGGTTGCTTAAATTACGTCTGAGACACAAACTGCTTTGCATAAGTCACGAGAAGAGTGATGCTGTCGGGAAAGCGTACTTCTATGTGCTTTTCTACTAAAAAAATTGACGCTTCCATTCGCCAGGTGCTGAAAAGCACCCCCTGGGATTATGACAATTCTCCGCTCCTGAGATAGGTATAGAGGATTCTTTATGAGATAGGAGGAAACTTGTAAGCCATGAAGAGTCCTATATCTTTCTATGTTGAGGTTTCTTCCTAATTAATCAAATATTATATTTAAATGTATTCATCTATGTAGAAATAGATTAAAAGTAGTTTGTTTTTCTTTCATAATTTTCATACACAAACTCATTAAAAATGGTTCAGTTATTGACCTATTATCACTTGAACTCTAAATTTTTGGCTATGAACCCTCGAGACCTTATCTTTGCATCTCAGAGAAGTGCGAGATAGAAATATCCCGGCATTGTAGACCCAATGGCAAATAAACCTCAACTAGAAAGATATGCATTTTATCCATAGGTCTTGCATTTTATCCATTTTTAACTATGTGTTGCAATCATGTACAGACGAAGATCGCAGAATAGCCCTTATAATAGTGAAACGATCGGATGCGGTGCAATAAATAAATAAAAAAATGTCCTTATTAATTGCTGAAACCTTTGATGCGATTGTTCAGTCGGTGTTGCTATGGTGACAGGTGAACCGTGAGCATTACCTACCTACCACGTTTTCTGAGGTAAAGTCACTTTATGTGACTTGGTGCCCTGACTTGAAAGCATGTGTCTGAAATGTTAACAATCTGCGTAAAATAAAATACATGAAATAGTGTGCCAAAAAAGGCAGCTCAATGAACGGGCGAGCCGCCGTTTTCTTTGACATCGGCGAAAAAAAAATCACAAGAAGTGTTTGTAATTTTCTTGCATTTCGAACACCTCTGGCAGGGCGCAGGTAAAATGACCTCAGTATTGACCTGAAAGAAAAATGGCCTAGCAAATTTTCAGAAAACTCGCTGAGCGCTATCAATCACTTTTTACCTTTTCTATATAGGTGCCTATCTCTCCAACTGGGTGTGGCAAAAAAAAATGTCACCAAGGGGTTTGCTGCGACCCTTATTCAAACACTAGTCAAAATGGGCACCGATGGCTTCCTCACGCTGAAATTAGAATAAGATAGCACTCTCGTTTTTCGTAAAGCTCTTATCGGATCAGAGGCCAGAGCGAAGCAGTCACTGGTCACACCTTTAAAAATGTGTTGTCAAGGATGAAGAATTGCCACTGCCAGTGCTAGAGAAGGTTCATTAATGATAGCAATAAAATCTAACATCTAACATCTAAAACCCAATGACACCTACATTCCACCATATCTATTAGTGACTCTATAACACTGCAGATCAAACTGTCATCCTTGAAGTCATGTGAAATGGATGTGCAAGCAGGAGGAATATCAAGCAAGCCCAAATATGACAAAAAAAGACAAAAAAAAATATTGACCTTCATCAACATTTTAACTTCCCAAAAGTGCTAACTTCCTAGTTTAGAGTAGTTTCAAATCCAGGACTAGGATGATGTTGACTGGTGCCAATTTCCAGACCAGTTTCTGACTGGTGCGGATTTGTTACCATTCTCGTTGCAGCTCATCAGCTCTGCTGCCATATCTAGAATTTTTGCTTCAGAGTCTAGCATGTTGTTTTTTTAGCCACCTGGCTTGTCTCATCCAGCAAGTCAAGGCCACAAAGCAAGGCAATAGCCAATAGTGATGTAATGTTGGTGCGGAGGCTGGTGTGAAGTGCTGTGTGGACTTGCTAGTGGCATGGTGAGGATTTTGGGTGGAGCAGTGCAGACTACAACAGGGCACCGTGTTAAACTGTGTATGGCTCATGGCTGTCCGAGAAAATGATACATGGGAGACAACAATGACCAGGGAATAAAATACCTTCAATTGCAGAAGTCAAAAGTGCAGATATCAAGAAACTGGTTAAAAATATAGGCCTTTATCAGCATTGGATGGTGCGGATTTCCAGCATGGGTTGGTGCGGGCCAGTGTTGATTTGCCAACCCGGTGGTATAGATCATAGACCATACGACTTTTGCAACAGTTTACAGCTTAGACCAAGTCACAAAGAGAAAATGATTTTTCATTTTGTGTAGAGCTTTATTACAGGCTGGATGACATTGTTGCACATGGCAGCACAACACTACTGTATTTTAAAAACAAATGTATTAACAAATGCTAACAAAAATATCTCAACTCTAGCCTTCGTTTCACGAACTTCACATGACATTGGCGCAACAGATTAAGGTGTCATTGTTTGATTATTCAGGTGCTATTCTTGGCTCTTCCAAGTAGTTTCTTTGTGGTGAGAAGGGTTCCATTAAGAAAAAAGCTTCTCAAGCCTGATGATTTTCAAATTAGGCAGCCCAAGTACCACACCCGTCAACATGCGCCACATTCGTAACAACAAATTTCATATTGTATTGTCAGCAAGATCTGCCGGGCTTACCTTTCATTACTGGATCAGTGAGAAACGGCTTGAAATGTTTCACTAGTTCATGGTTTGTTACTTTTCCACCCTTGCTCAGAATATAGTCACGGACGGAATCCGCCGTGAACTCGGTTGGAGGCTCCATTTCAGTTCAACAGGTGTCTACGGCCTCCTTCCCTGTTTTAAACTTGATGTTGGAATTCAAAACACAGATATTAAACACTAAACCACTCCAGACATGTCAATTATTCCCTTGACCACCTAAATAATTTTCAGCTCACTCCAGAAATGTAATTAAATCGAAAAGAATGCCCCACTCCTCGCAGCAGCGATGCACACCAACAGTAAACATATTTGTCTTCTAATAAGAGCCCCAAATATTGCTACCAAATAGAGTAATCAAGCAGCCATATCCATTTAAAGTTTTTCCTTCACATATTCTTACTGATCCTAGACCTAGTCGAAGGTGATGCGCCAGCTTACTGTTCTGTGACTGATGCCTGATGGTGCGTTGCTCTATATCCCGGCCGGGCCCGGGGGGTAATCCCAACCACCGCAGCCCGGGGGGGGGCGTTTTTCGCCCCCCCCCTGTCTAACTCCGTAAATAAGGGAGCTACGGAAACAAAAGCGATACCAAACGAAAGGTCCTTACGAGACGATTCTAATGCACCTAAAATTTTTGACCTCAGGTCAATTTTCAAGGTCAGAGGTCAAGGTCAAAGGCAAAAACCGCCACATGTGTAGTGATCTCAAAGTAAGCCTTCTAGAGGACGGCAGGCTGCATCAAACCGGCAAAATTGGCTGTCAAACGAAAGAAGAGAGTCTGAGGATTCTGAAAATGTGCTCAAAGTGAAAGGTCAAGGTCAAGGTCACGCTCAAAATTGACCTCAAACTTGGCACTTTTTCGCATATCTTGCGTGCTAACTTCCAAGATGTTTTGAAATGTTTTGAGGCTTATCAGTTCCCTATTTATGGTTCATCTTACGATACTAGGCTGCTCAAAGGTCAAGGTCACAGAAGAGTATCCCTGCGAGAGGCTATTTCACTGATTCAAGTTAGTAATAATAAATAAGACAATTTTGCACACCGGAAGCTCTAAATGAAGGCTTAGAGGAAAATAGATGCCAGATTCGTGATCAGCGGGTACAAATCCATCATAAACGACTTTTCATGTGTCAAGGTCAACCAGAGGTCATTCGAGGTCACATGAGGTCAACATAAAATTTGACCTTTTCCGAACAAAATATATATCATTCGACGCGGCTTGACAAGGCGAATGCGATGGTACCACTGCCGTAGCTCTAGGACCATTTTTGTCGAAGTTATTTGCGAAAAACTAAAACCACATTTCGGGGTCGTTGACCTGACCTCTGACCTCAGGTCACCAAAACTATTTTTCTATTTTTCTCTAGGTCAAACGCTACACAACCGTGCTCGTAATTTGTCTTTATCTCTAAAACTCTATTTTTAGCAGCTATTTGAAGTTTGCGTCTGTGACGCCGAAGTTTGCCGTGCAGGGGTCTAGAAAAATGGACCTTGTGACGTCATCAAGGGGGCTAGGTCCAAATTTTTTACTTCAGAAGATGTCAAATTGATGGGAGAAAAGGTACTGAAAGTTTCGCCTTCCTATCCCTAAGCGTTCGGGAGCTATCGCAAATATTCGCCAGGGGGGGGGCGAAAAACGCCCCCCCCCGGGCCCGCAACAGAGCCTTGGTTGCTCTGTGACCGTGCGGTGGTCTGTGACTGCCGCTGTATGTGATTTGTGTGATGGTCTTGAGTAATTGACTGTGCATGTGAGTTGTGATCTTGTCACCGATGGTCTGTGCCACCGATGCAATGGTCAGTGGTCACCGATGGTCTGTGACTGACCGCTTGTTGGTCTGTGACTGACTGTGGTCTGTGATTGACCGTTTGGGTTTGGTGGTCTGCAACTGAATGTGGTCTGTGACTGACCGTGCGGTGGTCTGTGACTGACTCATGACTGTGGTCTGTGACTGAACGTGCGGTGGTCTGTGACTAGACGTGGCGGAACTGTGACCGAACGTTGTTTGCCTGCGTCTCAGGCGCAATACCTACACTCATTTTTTGGCGAAGCTCGATCAGGGGCCGAACTGCAAGGGGTCCAGCCTTCCTTATGTTTCCCATATGTTCGCAGCTGGCAAAACACCTCGCCCCGTTGGGGGGGGGCAATTTGCCCCCCCGTGGTTTTTCCTGAATAGCAAGAACGCGGCGGCGCGCAGCGCCGCCACATTTTCAGTTCCTTCCTGGCATCAATTTGACACCTTCACACCAAATTTCGAGTCTTTGGTCACCTTAGGTCAGGAGTTATTGAGGTCAAACTGAGGTCATGTTCGAGCAAAAATGAGCAAAAAAACATGCAATCTTGAAACGCTCACCAAATCTACAGTTACCAAGCAATTTCAAAGTTCTTTATATGGTCTAGTAGACAAAAAGCGGCGCTACAAAACTGCTATCTCAGATTTTCAAAATTTTGTGTTTTTGACCCCCAAAAATTAAAAAAAAATGATTTTTTAAAAAGAAAAATCCAAAAACATTTCCGAACTTCGACAAAACGGAATATATGTGATAGTTCCTGTGCTCTTCTATATAATTATACATACCAAATTTCAGATCGATATCTCGTTTTTTTGACCAAGTTATAGCGAAAAAACTGTTCAAAAATGATGACGTCAAATTTTTCATGGTGTGTCAAAAGTGGAAATAGCCGCCCGGCTTTAGTTCGCCAGCCTTGTCAATAGATGGCAGTACCACAATATGGGCAGCGGATCGTGCAATTGACGTCAAATTTTCGTTACCTGCTAAGAATTGAACGGCGGATCTTTTCATGCAAGATTCAAGTAAATCGGTCCACAACTTTTCTAGCAACGGAGATATGAAATCAAACACCCTGCCAGAGCGGCGGCGCGGCGGCCGGCGGCGCCGCGCCGCCGCCGGCCGCCGAATGGCGGCGCTGAACGGTTCCGAATTGGCACTGCACTAAAACCTGTCAACTGCTGGGAATAGTTATTACAGGAAAATTTTCATTCAAGTGAGGAATAACCAAGGGCAGGAAGTATGTATGCTTGTGTGCGTACTGTGTAAGCCAAGAAACTGCATTAGCAGATACTCGCTAATATTAGATCCAGCCAAGTCCAAACGCATTCCAGGGGATGTGTTTCTAATGGGTCAACAATATTTATCGTTCGAGGGCGGATACAGTTTTAACAATACAAAAAATATTTTTGCACAGCTCTATTCCTTGAACAATTCTCTTCAACGCCTCATTCCTAGTTAAGCGAATTAGCCCACCCTGGTTGAATAAATAAGGCGATTTCGCCACAAGGTCGCGGAAAACCGACCGAAAACGGCCGCGCTCAACGTTAATTTGGGCATGCAGACTCTTAAAAACTCGCATTGGGCGGATAGGGTTTCCCAGGTATTGGCTCCAAAACACCGCATTCGGCTCCCGAATACGTCCAAGTGACCCGCCTCGTTCCTAGTTAAGCTCTAATTAGATCAAGTGACTCATAAGGAGCGAAAAAGCAACAAAAAGCATGAATTTCCCTATGGCGGCGGGCTGCCGGGTTGCCAGACGGCGCACCGGCTATTTCCACTTTTGACACACCATGTGAACTCAATTTTTAGCGATTCCAGACCACGTAGGGCAAAACAAAGACCACCATTGAACTCCCCGTGAGGAGCTGCATCGAATCGATACCCATTACCCATTTTATGAAAAAATATCAACTTTGAAATTTGACCTTATATGACCTGACCCATTGGCGTCACCACCACTAGGGACACTAGGGACATTGTCCCTAGAAGTTTTGAAATCATCGAAAACTACTGGGATTGTCCCTAGAAGTTTTTGGAGTTTCCTCTACTGGGGACACGCAAAGAACCCGGGACACGATAATGGCGCAACTTGCTCAGCTCTCCGAACACATGTGTTTTGCCTTGCGAACGGTCGCATCAACATCGCCACGGTAAATAAAAAGGCCCGCGAGCGGTGTGCCTACCCACAGATGTGACGGTGCCCTCCGGCCTCCAGGCACGCCCGTGTGGTCGCCGCAAAGCTGAATATCGGCAGGCCGGCACTCGTCCGAGAAATTGGTCGAGTTTATTTCCCAGTCACCCGAGGAGACACCCGAGCCGATTCTGGAGGTGCCCAGCATGATTGCTGAAACGAACTCGGCTGGTTACATACAGGTCCAGCTGTAGGTAACCGATGACGATATGCAGCTGCCCGCCGGTTACGAGCTGGGGTAGACTCAGCTGTATGAGGGGCTGGTCGCCACAGTCTGCGTGGACCCGGCGGGAGGTCAGGATCAGGGCAGTACTGGGCCGCCGCTCTGGGCCGGCCGCTGTTCAAGCCAACATTTCCTAAATCAATTCCCTCTGGAACATCGGAATGGGGATCGGAGACGGCGGGTAGAGGGGGAGGCATCAGGGCCATCCCCCCCCCCAGGGAAAATCAGGGGTCATCATATAATTTGCCCCCCCCCCCCCAAAAAAAAAAAACAAGCGATGGGGCCCCGGCCCGTATTCGATTGTCACGAGGCCAAAGAAACCCACGCCAGCTATTAACAGCTCCATACCGGTCTTCGAGGGTCCTGCACTGACCTCTGAGGGCCCTTCCGTGGTGGTCAAGCGCCCACATTGCCGTGGAGGGCCCTCCGCTGGCCTTTAAGAGCCCCCGAAGCCGGCCTCAGGGGCCCATCCGGCGTCTGAGGTCCTCACATCGGCCCCTTGTGGCATTTCTGTCTCTGGGGTGCCAAGACTAACCTTTACGTATCCCTGACTCCTGAGGGCCCTGTACTGGATTTTGAAGACCCGATGCCGGCCTCTAAGGGCCTGCATCGGCCTCTGAGGGCCTATTTTTGCCTTTGGGGCCCTCTGTTGGTCTGTGGGATCTAACGTTGGCTCATGCCGGTCTTTTAGGACCCAACACTGACCTCAGATGCCCCAATGCTGACCTGTAAGGCCCATATTAGCCTCTGAGGGCCCCGCACTGGATTCTGAAGACCCGATGACGGCCTCTAAGGGCCCGCATCGGCCTCTGAGGGCAAATCTTGGCTTTTGAGGGCACTCTGCTACTTGCTAGTCTCTGGGGTCCAACGCTGGCCCATGCTGGTCTTTTAGGACCCCACACTGACCTCTGAGGCCCCATGCTGGCCTGTAAGGGCCAATATTAGCCTATGGGGTCCCGCACTGGATTCGGAAGATCCGATACCGGCCCTTTTATGGCCTGCATTGGCCTCTTGGTCACTAAACCGGCCACTGATGGCCCTATTGGCTATTTTGTTCTCTGGGGGCCCAAAACTTGCCTTTGAGCGTCACGCACTG